ATTCCAAGTTTACCGAATATCGGTTGAATAATATACCTTAGAAAAATAAATATTTTAAATAATTTAGCTATTTTTTTTCTACAGCAAAAGATGGTTGACATATCAAGTTTTTGTAACAAACAATACTTTTTAGAACATACAATGAGCTAAATTCGATAATATAGGATTAAATAAAGAAATTTTCGAACACAATGTTGACAATTGTGTGTACTTTAATTTTCAAGAATTTTTCATGATTTTTTCTCCATATTTAAATTTTCATTATTAACAAAAAATAACTGACATGAAGTCTTTAATAACCTATTAAAAATGAAATATTCTTCCAATTTGATCTAAAACAAGATATGAATTACGCAATTTTCAAGGTTTTAATGTCAGATATTAAGTTGTATTTGTTTTTGTTTTTTCAATCAACTACTAAATGACTGAAGAAAGTTTTTCCTATCCATTTAACTGTAGTTCATATCATAGAGTTTTGTAGTTAACTTATTGTTTTCTTCATTCTGATTGGTTGTTTCAAGACCATGAGGGAACAGTTCTTGATACCTTTTAGTAAACACATTTATCTTTATTATTTTAAGGATATGAGTTAAATTATTTAAAACATCATATTTAAGGCTTTACAAGATTAATTTTTTTGTGAATAAAAAGAAAGAAATATTTGAGTTCTAAGTATAAGTATACTCATTTATATACTAAATTTTAATATTCCATTTGAATCCTATATTTAGTAATATACATTACACAACAAAAAGCAATGAGTTATTGATTGACTTCCAATTTAACGAATGAAAATAAACTTTTACGTTCAGTGATTCATATTTGAACCATGCCAAATCAAAAAATAATAAATAAAAAATTTATTTAAAATATGCTTTTAATCATAGAGGATATGAAAATTTACTACCATCTTTCTATTACTAATTTTTGTGACATATTTTACCTAATAATTGTCCAATTTATTTAATAATCTTGGATTACCTGAAAGTAACTGATAATTGTAGGGTTTTTCATTGTACGTCCTTTCACAAACTAATTTATAAACAACACGAGTTATCAATTTATAACAAAAAAGGTTAAAACATATTTTAAATTGATAAACAATTGAAAAAAAGATAAGACTCACAGGTTACTCTCTATACTTTATGTTGAACAACGAGTATACTAAAAATATTTGATGTTTTCACCAAGTATACTTATGAAACCACTGTAGGACAGAGAGATACTAGAACTCTACAAACAAAACAATTGGTGAATTATAAGTACCCTGACACATTTTTCATTAAATAATGAAATTGTTTTACAGTGGGAAATAGTAATTTTGTAAACATAGTCAAGAATACACAAATTATTATTATTATTATTAATAATGGCTTTATTCAATATTATAATCTGGTACAATTTAGAATTCTCGTGCTGAGAGTTCTATATTGTACCAGATTACAATGTTGAATAAAGCCATTAATAAAATAAATATTATTATATATTATCTAAGTTTACTTACAGTAATGTATAAATTAACTATATACAGAGAGGAATTTCCAGGTAGTTGATATTTTCATATGGCAATGGTTCATAAACTTCTGATTGTGGTTTAGAATGAATGTGAACTCTTAACTTAGTATGTGCATGCATAGGATCGTAGAGAATTGAAAAGTAACTGAACGGCAAATTAATAAATTTACAGCTCTGTGAATATATTTAGGTTAATGGTTTTATGAAACTTCATTTTTCAGTCAACCTCTAACTATGTAAGAAAAAATTATTATGTTAAACATAGATTCCCCCATGTACAAATTTTCAATTGTAATAATTTTTCCTACTTATATCTATCTCTATCTTAGTATTTAAGTTTGCCGTAGTAATTTTTATAAAAAATTGACGAGTAATGCCTAAGATTTAAACAAGGCGATATATCAAGATTCAAATTAAATTAGATTACCGATTACTTTTATTGATAGGACTGAAGCATGTGTATTCAGACTTTTTATAAACTATTAAAGTATATTAGTACAGAGAGTTTTCAGAGATTGGGGAACTTTAGTAATTTAAATCATATGCTAATCTAAATTAAACAATCATTTAAACCAGGAACCATTGGACAGCTGTTCCATTCGGGTATGAGACTTCTCAACGGTACACATTCATGACTCCATTAAGAAGAGAAGCGAGAATCTTGAGGTCTCGAGGTAGGCGCTTAGCTTCGGTACCAACGAGTTGGCATTCGGTAATTTACATATCTAATTTCAGTTAATTTTTGATATTGTACATCCATCTTCCATAACATGCAGCAGATAACCATTTGACGTCCCGCATAATCAAACACCTCCACTTACGGCTTCTCAGTAAAATCCATCAAATTTCCAGTCGTAGTTTATCGCTAGTGAACACAAGATTATTGGTGGCACAAAAAGTGTGTGAAGACTAATAAGATTCCACAGTCTGATGCACAGTAATATCGCAAATCGATTGAAGTAAGACATGCACACCATTGAATGCTGGCTTGATAACCTGAAAGTTAAGAAATTATAATGAGACCGAAAGTCCTGCGTCGATTTATGGTGGGGTCGTGGATGCACACTTCCAAGGAGTCGTATGTTAGCATGAAAAATCTATCTAGTGGTTCTTGGTTTCGGATGATTGTCTAGCTATGATTGGTATGTGATGTGGATTATTAATGTTGAAGTATTCTAAATCTAGAGTGAATACTTTTGTGTACTAAAGAGAGAAGGGTGAATTAAGGACACAGTTGAATAACTTTCGTAAAAATAAACGTAATGCATTAATTTTCCCAAATATTTACCCAAACTTTAAATCTTTTAATTACATGAGCAAGGATGAGGAGTTAAAATCTCAGCAGAAAAATCGATTCTCATTAAGAATGACAACATCAAGCCTCTAAAAATAGTTTATATAAATAAGTAGGTTTTTAAAATTATCTATGATAAACTAAGAGCTGAAATTTCTCAACTATCGGGATGAATAAAACATGTAGAAAAGTGACTTTAAAAAAACGAAATCTAAGAACGAAACACATTTTAACCAATGACAATGCTGTTACCATAGTATTTTTGTTAAAATGTTGTGTCAATTGATGTAGTCAATTTAAAACTGCAATGGAGAGATTTTTTTGGAAAATTTTCGGCATTAAATGCATCTTTGAAGTCTACCATTTCCCTTTAGAAAATTTGGGTTTGTTTGGTTGCTTTTTTGTGTGCGACAAGGATTAGGACTGTAATAATTAATTCAATAATACTCCTAATAGCATCCAAATAATGACTTTATGTTCCCTTTAAACACACTTAACGGCTTACATCCAATAATGTGCCCATCCTAATGAGTACTTACTTAATTACCCATGCATGTTACCCCTCGTGAGCCATAAACTGTCGATCAAGAAAATACTGACAAGAACAAATTTTAATGACTACACACATAAAACTAATGATGAGCTATGTGAAGGATATTTGCATTTACTGTATGGTTTTGATCATAAGATAAACCGGATAGTAATTAACAAGTTCATAGTAAGCTCGATGGTAACAATGTTAGAAAAGTAACCCATCTGGACTATCCGAGTAGCAATTTTACTAATATTCGGACATTTACTCATCTGCATTCTTCTTTTGGTATTATTGAGTTACACTTAGATAAAGCTCTGAAGTCATTAATTCTCTTAATTACAGATGAATCTTACTTAAAAAAGTACAAGCCAGGAAATACAATAGTTAGTAAGGCTGAAATATTTTTACAAATTTATAGGCATTATAGACGTTCAAAGAATAGCTTACTGTAAAAGGTTTGGTTTTTCTTATTTTATAGTAGTGATTGAAAAGCGATTACATTCTAAATTTGAATACAATCACGTAAAAATTTTAGTAAATCATGAAGATATGATTTGCACTAAATTAATTTACAAAACGTTGTGTAAAATAGATAAGTGCTAAAATGTTTTAGATAGAGTTCAGAACATGTGTAGTTAACCAAGTTTAGATTTAAATGAACACCCAATGTTAGTAACGGCTGATGATTCAGGAATATCTAGAATTCACTGTAAAAAATAAACAATTGGTCTTTGATCAAGTGAATTAATGGTATCGTATTTTTTGAGAAACTAATAAGGGCTGAATTCAACCATATGTAAGATCTTTGTAAAGTGATACCGATGTATACAAACCTAAAACAATGTCAAATCTACCGTTGTTTCCTCTAGTATATCATTAAATCTCAGACCGCGATGAAATATTCCTTCAAACTAAGCGAGTCTCCAGATACACACTAAAACGTCTACATCAACTCAATCTCATGATATGTAACTTGTCAGATTCCAACCTTTCAGAGATTTGCCACACTATTAAAAAGTATCAGAAATACGATCGTAAATGCACTGACAGACTGGTTAAAAAAACTGTTGAAAGTTAAAACCACAAAATTAAATAAATAAAAAATGAAGACATTTTATTAATTTCCAACTTCATCTAATTTAACAATGGTAATCAAAGCTAGAAACTTAAAGTACCAAGCCCAGGGAATACAGAGTTTCTTGGTTGAATGTAGTTCCTGCCTGTTATAAGAAAGGAATGACGACAGGTTTACGGAAACATGTGAAAGTATACTATAAAGATACGAAAACATGTGACAATCAATCCCGAAACATCTAAATGGTTCATCAACATGAGCACTAAGAGGGGAAATTCGGGAACAAACACTGGATATCGATAACGATCATGATTTTCATTTGAACTATACACGTTAAATTAAGCAATATAGATGAACTACGCTTTTGTACATCAAAAAAAGACGTAAAATTTACATGAAAGTGAAACAAACATGCATGATATCACATATGACACATAGATTTATAAATAGTTTTACTTTATTTATTATAGCGCCCACTGTTGTTTGCTCATTCGTCAACAGATTTATGTATTAAAGTAAAACAGTAAGTGTAATCACAACTAAAGTATCCATAAATTTCCTAATCATCTTATTTTTTATAGGTAACCTAAGTGAGAAATATCAAAATATATTTCATCGAAATCCACTTTTTGTTGGTATGAGAGTTCCATTTGCAAAAGAAATTGATCCATTGGATAAACGACTAGCTAAAGTTTCCAAACTAACTCTTGGATTTATAAAGGTAATTGAAAATTGTGACACATTTTCTATTTCCTAAAAGGGAGGACAAGAAAAGTATGGCCGCTTAATGAATAATAATAATAATTTTAGTAAATATATTTGAGTGCCATATATTTGAAATTATATTTTATGAGTTAGCAGAGTTCGGAATTCCAGTATCTCCGTAATTAGGGTTTTTCGAATTCTGTTTGTTTTATGTGTGGTTTTTGTGGTGGTAATTTTTATGTTCAGAGCTGTGAAGTTTTGATGCAAAAAATTACCCTAGCATCGTTGATGTATGTGGTGTTAATAACATTTAAGGTGTCGATATATTAGTCAACTAATGTTTACATGTTAGAGACTTATTGTTGCGAAGATAATATTTGACTCTGCATATTCATTTACATTGAGCGACGTTTTTAAGCAAAATTAACATTACAGCAAACCGGAAACTATTTTATTGCTAAATAAGAAGAATTTTGTATTTTGATAAGATTTTCTACGAGAAACTGAACAATTTAGATGTTTCATTGTTTACTATAAGGTCTTGACAATAGGTAAGGTTATATTCTATTCCACCACAAATCAACTGATAAAAAATAAGTCATGCATGATCGAGTACAATCTTTATGCTTTAATTTTAGGATCACGACAATAAATTTCATATGCATTTGGCTTCAGATTGTGAATTTAGTGTGATATCATGTGTTGGAGTACACAATAATAAATATAAATTATAGTAGGAATTTCAAACATTTTCATTTCATTATCAATCGTGTGATCATGAAAATTATAGCTCACTCATCAGACCAATAAATTAAAGTCTGGAACATAGGTATTTCTGAGACTTCATCATAGTAATTTATGAATAACCACATGGAAACAAAAACGTAATTCGGACTAATATTCTATAGAAAAAACTCCTAATCAGTATGGAGGTTTAAATAATTTTCTTGTGTCAAGTGGATATAAGTGTCAGCTTTTCTAACCAAAGTATAGCAAACTTCTATTGATAAAAATATTACTTTTTACAACGTTATGCTGTTTGTTGCTGAGGAAAAAAGCCTGAAAATAGAATGAGTTTGCCAGTATAGAGTTGTGGAGATTGTTGGGTTTTTGATTGGAATCATGAGTCGATGAATGTAGGACCAGCATTTGAAACCTGGACAACTGTTTCGTCCACCATCCCTCACTGCCGAGGAGTTCCTTACTAGGACGAAACGGTCTTTCAGTGCTTCCAGGTTTTTGTTAGTGATATAACACTAATCGACTCATGATTTCAATCAAAAATAAATTCGCTTTATTCTACAGTGTTTTCGTCCTTTCTTTGTTTAAAGTTTTCACTGGATGACCAGTTGTATGAAACTTTTCGGTGATTTTTTCCAAATATGACCGTATAAAGTCCATATAATTTGAACAGTGTATTTAAAATAATGTAAATAGATAAAATGTTTGAAAATGGTTGTTATTGGAGCTCTATATTTACAAATTATACTCTATATACTTGATTTATATTAACCTATTCTTCTACTTGATTATAAATATTTTGTTTTATATAAACAATAACTTTCATTTAATTCATTCGTGAATAGCCTTGATTATTTTTTAATCTTTTAAAATATTTATATATTATTGGTGTGTTAGACTTGTCTTCGAATCGATGCTAACGATCGACCGACATCATCTGCTCTTTTGAGGAGTGAATATTTCACTCGTGAAAATTTTGCATCTATATTCTTGGAAGAGCTAAAAACATTAATTAAAAACGAAACAAACATAAATATACCTTCATCCTCTACGAATATCACTAGTGACAACAGTATCGTTAACAATCCGAACAGTAATAGTAACCAAATACAAGTTAAAAATAATCAACCATGTAATGCCAGTAATAATAATAACAGTAATACTGTACAGTCAAAGGTTTCTACCACAAGCACAACGACGACAACATCAACAATATCTTTTACTACTACTACTACTACTACTTCTACTACTCCTCCTCCTACTACTACCACTGGTAATATTTATCCTAATACCAGTACTACAACAACTACTGCCGTTAAACTTTTTCTGTCAGATATAATGAATGTGAAAAATCAAAATAAAGATAAAACAACAACTCCAGATCGTGTTGATTTGTCAGTAACATCACAAACTGGTTTACATAATAGTGAAATTAATGAAGTGAGTTGTCTCAGTACACTTTGTTTTATGCACATTATAACTTGCAAGAATGTTTGACAATTGACTAGAATTGTTTTAATTGTGCGAATCGAATTTAATATATGATCCAAATAAACTATGAAGCCAAATTAATATCATGAACGAATCAATGTTAGACAACCATTGGAAACCTAAAAGAACTGGACAGCCGTTTCGTCCTAGTATGGGACTCCTGTCTTGCGAGGCAATTACTAACTGAAGACAATGGTGGACGGTCGCACAATATCGTCGATTGGTTGAAGTCAGACAATAATACCGTTGGATGCCAGCTCAGTGGTCTATAGGTTCAGCGTTCATGCGCGAGACTGAAGACCCTGGGTTTGAGTCCCGCGTGCGGGATTGTGGATGCACACTGTTAAGAGGTCCCATACTAGGACAAAACGGCCGTCCAGTGCTTCCAGGTTTTCAGTGGTGATCTACCATTGATCGGTTCATGATCTCAATTAAAATTCATCAATCTCCACAACCCTATACTGATAAAACTATGAATAGTTTTTTTAATACTCAATAACCTAAGTCTAGCTGGATATAATGAAAAACTTAAATTTACAAATTGTTTTAAGTTAAAATGATAGAAATAATAGATGAGTCCGTCTTATTTAATAAGTCACATTTTTGTGAACATAATTACAGCAATTAACGAAAAAACAACTATGGAAACTGAATATTGTGTCTTGGAGTTCAATAAAAACATGGACCAATTTCATAAAAAATTACTTGGATTAAAATATAATAAACCTTCAGCTAACCGACTGTTTCGATACTGAATGATAAAATTCAAACTTTACTGTAATTATAAATGTACTGAAAGTAGTACTTTTGTATTTTCATATAATCTATAAATTGATATTACCATGTATGTAACATGGAATGAACTCTTTTATAAGCCTGTCTGAAGATCGAGTGTTTAAAAAAGAAATCTTTATTCTACGAAAAGGAAACCGATAGTATTTAAAACCGAATGTATTTGTCTATCAATTTCTGTGCCTGTCAGATAAGTATAACAATATTTCAGTGATAAAAAGATGGAACTTACTATGAAACAGAAATAAACATAACCATTACTAATTTTTTTTGGTATAATTGTTTTATGTATAGTGCACCTAAGGATATTTGTGATAGGTAATGTATTTAGTAAGTGGATGCTGTTACCCTTTTCAGGGTTAACGAGATTCCGTAAAGTAAGTTTTCAAAGAAGTTAAATAAAGTTTCTTTTGATATCTACTAATTTTTATTAACACCACTGTTGGGAATAACTCTAAAACTTCGTTCCTCCTCTGGCTTCAAAGCATTCAATCGATTTTGCAAAGACATATCGGAATCGTTAAATATCAGGACGTAAATTTTCAGAGCAATTAGAATATATGAGATAATACTGTCGAATTTGTATTGTGTAGAAGAGGTTTTTAAATCCTGAAAATGGTTTTCATAAAGCAATTGTAGCATATATTCAATACATTCCTAAGTAATCAAGACTTACATATTCTTTTATATAATTTTGTAGATTATTATTCTTATCAACATAAATGGAATAAACAGTTTGCTACGAAGGTTTCATGAATGATTGTAAAAGTGTTTTTTTGCAATAATAAGCCTTTTGGAAGACTAAACTTGATGTTTTCATTTATTTACATTTATCTGTACTACATTTCCACTATCAGTACACTTAAAACGAATGTTTTTTAGATTCATTCAGTATTGTCTGTTTGAATCTTCCCATCGATTTGTTAGGACTGCAACTGGTCAGTCTCTAATTGGCATATGTGCATACTGTGCGTATTACCTCGATATAGCCTTAATTCACAAGCATGGTAAGCAGAGATGGATAGTGGCTAGCAGTGGAATCCAGAATGTGCGTTTCGTCTTATTTGGGACTCGTCAGCTGGATGTACCTGCATCTCAGAGTTGATGTTCACTCTGGGACTCAAACCTAGTACCCTCGCTTCAAACGCCATCGCGTTATCCACTCGGCCACTGAGTCCTGATAGCCACTTGCTTGTGCGATGGGGTGAAGTTTAAATTCATTCAGTATTGTTTGTTTGAATCTTTTGTTTGAATGTTTTTTAGGTTATTTATTTTTTTCATGTACAAAACACATTTTTATATATTTTGTTTTTAGCAAAATAAATCATCTAATGTATCTACTGGCTTTTCAAGTAATACTAAACCTACACAATTGGAAGGGAATAAAATCAAATCTACTATGGCTGAACAGGTTAATTTAACATATGTAGCGTCTAAATCAAGAGTTGCAACTAAATCACAATTGTATAATGAGTATTTGGTACATGATGAAAATATAGATCCACATGTTAGTTATACGTTTTATTTATTTTATCTTTGTTAAATTTCCTTAAGATTTTTTTCAGGTTTCCTAGACCCAGTTCATCCAAATTTTTACTTTCTAATGTTTATATAACCATTGAAAACTGTGTACATTATAACAACAGTAATTTCAAATTTAGACGGTTTGGTCCATCGATCGCTTTTATATGATAATATTCTTGAATAACCATATTTGAATAAAGTGTACGCAAATGTAAGAGTATTTCACATTAAATACAAACTAAGAAGTTATTTCAAACGTAAATAAACTATTCTTTTCCCAGATAGCCATTAATATTTAGCGTCTGGGTAAAATGTTTTCAGTAGTCCGTCGGAACGTTGGAAATCTGATAAAACACGTATTTGCTTTGTAATGGCCTAATTCGACCTTCCTATATCTGCTTTTCTATGAACGTGTGGTCTTTTCAACATAACAGCCAATTGGATTCACGCTGTCGAATATCAACTTTCTTTTCTTGATTTTTTACAGTCATATATTAAAAAAGGTTTCACTAGTAGTTTATCTGTTTTGAATATATTGTATACCCGCAATCTTAGGCAAACTGGTGCTTCCTGAGGAATTCGAACCCAGATCACCTGCTAACTAGCTCCAACCACTTAAAATCTTGACAAACTACATGTCATCCAAAGGCATCTAGGCTAGTAATGACATCGCAACTTGATTGATACATTTCTATCAGTCTTAAACAACTGGAAAAAGTGATATTTGTCAGCACTTAGTTATTAATCAATCGTATAAAACTATGCATAGCTGAATGAACTTTTTTAGAAAAAACAATGTTTATATATTCAAAACCACAAGTTTTTGGTTAATTCATCACCTATGCCGATGCTTTTCCACAAAGTATACATGCTAGATAGGGTATTGTGGACCTTTCGTTCTTTTCTTTGCTTACTTAAACGTTTTAAAATATGACCATTTAACAATAAACATTTTTTTTTAATTCTCAATCTTAAGCATTTGTTAGATACAATGAAAGTTTCAAGAAAGCCACACTATGGATCAGATAATGTTTTGAATAGGAACGATGATTCTGATTTAAAAGAATCATTCACAGTAACTGAAAAAATGAATGACCGGTTGAATGAGATGCCTTCTATTCCACAAGTACGTAGTTTGATGTGAAAACGTAAAGTAAAACCATGTTGATATATTACAAATGCAGACAGTTAATATAAAACATTTTAACCTTTTATTACAGTCTTGTAATCTGATTATTTAGCCTTGGTTAGAAATTCTTCTGGTTTATGAAATCACGAATTTAAATATGGTACTCTCCTTCGGTATTCATTCCCGACCCACCAAGGTTCGAACCTAGGATCTTGTCCAATATTAATGGACAGAAGATTTGATCATGGTGAAGAATATGAACAATCTATTCATCCACAGTCATTATTTTGAAAGAAATTATGTATTTTACGATTTTATTACGGCTCATTGGGAAAATTGTGTTTAATTTTTGGGTATATAAACTCAATATCTAACTTTATTGGTATTTTCTAGAAGCTATGAGATGATTTTTCGTTGAAAAAAATAGTTAGAGGATAATCAAATCCCTTTTTAACATACCACAGTGTTATATCAACCTATTTTCCCTTTAGTATATTACATGAAAAGAATATCATCCCTGTCACAAGGTAACATCATCCATGAATCTATTGAGAACTATAGTGTACTGAAAGGCTGATTTTCTAACTTTAAAATTTTCAGTAGTGCACAAGGGTGAGTCTACGAAGTCCATGTTCTGTGGAGCTCAGTGGTGTAATTCATTCGCGTGCTCATCTACACTCTGCAATCAGTCAATTATCTAATGTCATGAGGTTTGCCAGATACTTACTATGTTAAAAATACTTTTTATTACAAGTATTCTATTTTAAATTTTTTACCATTTTGTGCAATACAAATTTCTAATGAATATGTTTGTACAACTTATTTTTCCTTAATAGGTAGTTTTTATTACCCGCTTATATCATTCAGAAAGAATATTACAGATCGCTAAGTTCTCGATATTCTGTGAAAACAGAACACAACACGCACTTTCGACTCACTTTTTAATTGAAGTAATAATTTCGAAGTAGTACAAGTTGCTTTATTAATACATTTAACAGATCAGGTGTTGTTTCATTTTATTATCTCTAAGGAACACTTTATTTTCGATGCAACCAGATTGCTCAAACTGTAACAAACGGGTCGAACTTAAACCTTTCAGCCCAGTAGCTGAAACTGAAATAAACTAACGATTCAACCACTAATATTAAAATATACGGTACTTTATAGTTCTGAAATGTACGTCTTCTAACATAATTATACTTATAGAAATTACCTATCAATCTAGAACTCAGTTTATTTACTTGTTGAATTTCTTTTCTTTCCTGTTGATACTATGAAAAATATAGTCAACTAATATCTAAGATCATGCTGATTATAATCAATAAAGTTTCTATCATATCATCAATGTTTTTTTACTTTTTTATATCAGAAGTCATTTGGTCTACTTACAACGGTTAAATGTAAGAGCCCGAAACCAACAAATCCAATCTCAAAGCCTTCTATATTAGAAGATTTACGTGAACCTTTGAATGATACTGACTTATCCTCTGCTTCTATATCAATATCCCCTTTACAAGTAACAAATTTAACCATTAATGAACAGTCAATAATAAATACTACTAACCAATCTCCGTTCAATAGCAGTTTTGTTGCCAAGGTTCGTTGATGGGGTCATATATATACATATATATATATATATAATTCATTCACAATATGCATAAATCATATGCACTGTAAAAAAATATGAATGAATTCTATATTATTCAACTAAATTATTATGTTAAATTCATCAATAACACACCATTGATTGCTATAGTATGGTGGTCAGTTATTTATTAAGTGTTTAGTGATTTTCGATGGTAAAACTTATATTTAAGGTTGATATGTCCTTTTTTATTAATAATAATCTATATTTTCTGCTCACAGATTATAATCATTTATTTGTATTTATAACAGTCATCCGGTTATCACTTTTACTATTTAAATAGAATTATTGATTTTAGCCGATAATATATATTGTGTATCTGGTTTACACGGGTTGCATTGCCGAAATTATTATTACCACTCTATAGAAAACAAGAAAATCATTAAAGATAGTTTTTCGTCATGAAGTACTATTGAAAGTTAAGAATATTGGACTATTATGTCATCTTATGTTTGACCTTTTTTAATATTTTGAGAAGGCACTTCTAAAGAAAACTTAAAAAATAAACCACTGATAATTGTACTTTGTTTCTTAATGATTTTTATTTATTAATTGTTCATGACAGAAAACTGATATCCAATCTAAATCAGCCTCTACAACTCATTCATTTCAGTTCATTGTTTTTTCTACAAATGTAATAATTTCATGCTGGAATTCCCACTTTCTACTGTCAACCGAATAAAAAACAGACAAGATACATTTAATGATTTCGTGATAATAATCATCATAATAATAGTAGTAAAAATAATCCCTATTTTAAATATCGTATATTTGATTACACTTAAAATTTCTCAGCAAAGAATATGTAGTATCACAGTAAACTCCTATTTTTAACCCTTTGGAATTAAAAAAATTAGTATGAAATGTTTTATAAGTGATTATCTGCCACTTATTTTCTTCCGCGAATGTTCACAATCAATCTTGCTTCCATAACACTCCATTCATCGCATTATGAATTTGATGTATGCATTTTATAATAATTGCCTCTGATATCTACGAAGAACAGATAAAAACGAAAATTCATCAAGCATTAATGGTTCCCCCTGAATCAGTGTTACATCTTAACCACTTGATAAAAGCCCTCAAGTGCATGTGGTCATCACGTATAATTAGTCAACTAAAATAAATAAAACTGAATGATGTATGTTAGTAAATGTGAACAGGTCACTGGATAAAATACATGATAAATTACTTTGATAGTAAATTTCACACTAGGGAGATGATTTCATAGTTTGTATGTAATGCTGTTACTAATAATTGTAAAGCTTTGTTCGTAATGATCCAGAAAGACCTAAATCGAGCAAATTATTTAGAGTTATTGTATGATTCTTTCTATATGCCTTTCTTATTCTAACACAGGTTACTGAAGTGCCAAATGAACAAATCGACTGCACTTCAACAGTTATAGAGTCTTCTGCTAGCAAATATTTGGATACAAAATGTGGGGACTCACAACCTAAGGAAATGACTTCAAATAAACGTCTACCTTATCTTACTTTAAGTCAGACTAGTAGCTACCATTTTTTTCCACAACAGTATCGAGGAGTTTATCAAAATTCCCTAAAATCAGACCAAACAAATACATATAATACTGGAATTGTTTCTTCAGGAACAGGATTGTCTTCACTGTCACCACTGTTAACCAATAGTCAAACAGTTAGCAAACACGAAAATCACCCTACTTTTCACTCTATCAATATTTCGGCATCTCCATCTATTCCTTTGCAAACATGGACAACACAAAAAAATTCTTCTAATACAAACAACTCATCCAAGTACGTTCGTCTCTTTTTTAAGTACAACAAAAACATTGAATCGTTTCTCTTTTTTGTTATTATTCTTTGAAAGATTATTAGTTTAAACATATGTTTCAACAAAACTTACAGATGAATCTTTACTTCATTCGAAAAGTACTAGATGTGCCAAAGAAGTGGGATTTCAGTGTAAGAAATGATTTAATCTTGTGTGGTAAACTGATACATAAATCTAAATTTCTCGCTCTCTATTTCACACTTAATCTATTCAATAACTGTGAAACTTTCTGAAACCCAGCACGTTTAGACTATAAGATAAATATAATTATTTCCTGTTTGTCATAAATGACTAACTATTCTGTATGTTTTTTCGGTTAACATCTAAATGTAGTTTTTTTCCATACAAATGAGATATGAAAATTTAATAGAAATCATTTGTTGTCTATTATGTCGAATAAACACTTTGAATAGTTTAATAAATTAATCAATCAAGGCTTATTTCCTTAAGTGTGACGAACGGGAATTAATCAAATAAATTCTGAACAATTTGGTTACACAAATATTTGTCAGATGATTGTCTAAAATCTACTAAATAAATCACATTTTTCGCACTAACTCTGTCGACTGAAAATGCTCTTAGAATTTATAAAATAAACTAATGGTTTGGAAAGACTTCAATCAATATTCAGGATGGATTTTTTGATGGATTAAGGACTCCTTAGCTAGATGTTTCTACATCTTATTAGTAATGTTCCAATTGTTCTTCTAGCGCTGTAAAACAGTTTTCCATCAGAATAAGTAGTAACGATAGTAACCCATTGTTCAACGTTTATGACATACATATATATGTATAAATTATCTTCAGTGTTTCTTTTTTTATTTTTTGAGGGATTCAAAAAGTCGACGATACCATCAACCTCCAAATCACCACAGAAAATCAACATTTTCTTTGCAATTCCCTATGAACGTCAGTCATTCAGTTTGTCAACCGATTTCAACTTCGTTAAGCAATCACTCCTAATCATAATCACCATTTCTCTATACTGCAGCCAATTGGTATTATGCCTTCTCCAAATATCTTTGATACAAATCATGATTATTTGCATCCTGAACAGAATGAATCACATAGTTATATTGGTCATGCAAATTTTTCAACACGTTCACCGCTACAAAGTTTGTCCCAACAAAATATTTTTAAAAAATCATTTACATCAAATAGTACAACTGGTACAAGTAAACAGGATAATACATATCCTCTTACTGGTAATCAACACTCATTTAGTCCACAAGTTTTACCAGCTTTTACATGTTCTTCATATTCCACGAAACAGTATGGTACCAATACAAAGTCTAGTCATAATAATCAGTTTCCTATAAATAGGTTACGTAATTCAGATAGTAAGTTCATATAGTTTATTTTACATTGCTTTTAACCTTATGGTTTTTTCAAAACGTTATTGTGCTTTTTTACTGTAAAGCAACATGAAGGAGAAATTTTCTTGATTAATATTTATTTATACGTAGAATGTCATCATTTATGATGATTGATGTTATCAATTTTTTACGACATAACTTTTATAGATTGTTAGTTGGAACTTATTGGCTATTCTTCAAACCTCTAATGTATTTCCTGCATGTTCTTATACTTACTATTACAGAGTTCTGGCTTGGAAGCTTACCCAGAAGATGAATAACAGTTTGTTATTTGAAAATGAATTTTAGATATTTACTTATCTGTATTCCTTATGATGAGTGAATATATATTCGTCGTGTTTCAAGCATCTGTCAGATATTTCTGATACATTTTGAAAATATTATGACTACTGAAAGATTTCTATCTATCCCTAACAAGCTCATATAATTTATTTATCGATACGTTTCTCTATGAATACTTTGACGCTTGTAGACGACTAAAGAAAAAATTGATTACTTATAAATTCTAGATATTCTTTTTATTCTTACTATTTATATTAACCTGTAATTTTAATAATTATTGTAATGATAAATTTTCTATGGCCTATCTTCAAAGGTTTAGTTCTTACTTCTTAATAAAAAGTAAATATAATCTATTGTCTTGTACATTTTTGCTTTTTTGTTAACAAGTAAAAACAATACTGAGATATACAGTTAAACAATACTTGAACTAATTAGTCCGTTACAAAGTTTCAGGTCATAAGTAAACTGTTAAAATACGACACAACCGTTTGTTATGTTCATATTCGAGATACTATATTCTCTACTTTGATTATATTTCGTTTGGATGACCAATGTTTTAGACTGTCTAAACCCGATTATATGCGTAAGATTTACTAAAATACTAAAAAGTGAAAATGATATTTAAGTGTAACTTTCATAAACATCATACACTATTAATAACAGCTATCAGGTTTCTTCAATGATTCTGCCAGTCACTGGTTAGATTCATTAGATTGTGTCACAGATTCCAACATATTACTTACTGGGTAGTTTTGGCTTATAAATATACTAAAATGTTGTCGGATAACAGTGAAATAATTCTAACCAATTCGTTTGTATTCATAATTAGTAAATAATTTGCAGGTTATTTATGTATAGTGAATTTTTTGTGAAAATCAAGTCCCACTTTCATTCTAACCCTTCAAGTTGTTGTTATTTTGATGAATGAGCTAATCGGATTATTTACATGAATCAGACCAACTCAAACTCAACCGGACAACGCGAAATTGCCACTTGTAAACATCACTGTTGCACACCCAATAATGGCGGTTTAAGAACTTGTTGTAAGACCATTTCTGTACGTTGTTGTGTAAACAGTCGTGAATCTGTCGTAAAATCTCTTCCCGTAAGTTTTTTTCCCGTGACTACATTTTCTTCCCTCCTTATACGCAAAGTTATTCCTTCAATTAACTGTATAAATGTGTATTGTGTCAACCTTTTGGTCCATAGTATAGTTATATATATAATAGAAAATATACATATCACATTGTTCCATAAATAGTCTTCAGAGTTAAAATTCATAATTCGCCACGGGATATAACAGCTTCCCGTCAGATGTCGAGGTCTTCATAATCGAGACAATCTTCAGAAAAAAGAGGAAGGGAGAGAGTAGAAAGCCTTGTCTGACTCCAGTCCTTACTGGAAATGCATCTATCAGCTGTTCAGCACGCACACCTCTGCACTGTAGTCCGTCGTATGAGTTCCGGATAATATTGACAATCTTCTCATGAGCCCCATAGTGTCGAAGAAGTTTCCATGAAGTTCTCCTGTCTGTGCACGACCGATCCTTACAGAATCCAGTCTGTTGAACTCAAAGTTGGACGTCTACAGTGTCTTTTATCCGGTTGAGTAACACTCTGTTGAAAACTTTTCCTGGTACTGACAACAACCTGATGCCTCTGTAATTCTCACATTTGCTGAGATCTCCTTTCTTTGGTATCTTGATGAGATATCCTTCTTTCCAGTCCGTTGGCACTTGTTCCTCTTCCCAAATCTTCCTGAATAGAGGGTGGAGCACGTATGCAGTTACTTCAATGTCTGACCTCAGTGCTTCAGCTGGTGTATTGTCAGGTCCTGCCGCCTTCCCACTTCTGATTTGTCTGATGGCCATCTTGACTTCTTCGATCGTTGGTGGAGTGATATCTATAGGAAGGTCAGTGTATGTTGGTTCGATGTCCGGTGGATTCAATGGGGCTGGTCTATTCAGCAGTTCCTCGAAGTATTCTGCCCATCTTTTCCTCTGTTCTTGAGTCTCAGTGATTGTATTTCCTTCTTTGTCATTGACTGGTCTCTCTTGTTTACTATATCTCCTTGCCGATTTCTTCGTTGTATCTTATAGTTCTTTCATATTCCCTTTTCTTGCAGGTTTTTCCGTCGTCGTTGCTAATTCTGCCATGTATTTCTGCTTGTCGACCTTAATGCTTTTCTTTACTTCCTTGTTTGCTCCTATGTACTCTGCCTGTGCTTTGACTTTCTCTGCTCGTGTTCGGCTGTTGTTAATTGCTGTCTTCTTGTTCATCCTTTCTTGAATCTTGTTGAGGGTTCACATAGAGATCCATTCCTTATGATGATGCTTCTTAGGACCAAGAACCTCCTGACACGTTGAAGTTAGTGCTCCTTTGATCCTTTTCCAATCGAACTGCATATTAGAGTTTTCTTTTTTTGAGTGGATCTTGTAAGGCTTGGAACCTGTTGATGAGTTTGTCAATATGTTGTAGGAAGGCTGTATTGAACCTTTGTACTGATGTTTCTCCAGTTGTCTAGTGTTTTTTTAGCTTTAGTCTCATCTTCGCCACAACCAGGTGGTGATCTAAAGCTAAGTCAGCTCCTCTCCTGGTTCTCATATCTTCCATTGTCCTTCGGAATTTTTTGTGGGTGCAAATATGACCTATCTGGTTCTCTGTGGTGTGGTCCTGCGAGATCCATGTAGCCTCGTGTATGCGTTTGTATGGAAATATTGTGCCGCCTATAATCAATTTTTTGAACGAACATAGAAAGTGGACAATCTTGATGAACAAAGATTACAGTGATCAATTCCGATAACAAATTGGGATACACCCTGACCCGAACATAAATTTTGGCTAAAGATCCTATACAAAGTTAATTAATTTTTTTGGACCCCTTCTCGATGATGGACACTACCACAAAACCTCACGATCATCAAGTTGAACGATATATTAAGGTCAAGGAAAACAGCTTTAGTCGGATATCGAAAAGCATGTCCATATGCCCAGGTCTACCGAAGGGTGAATATTTGGTCTACACATTCATGTCCAGATCTGAAATCAGCGTGACTTTCTCAAGTTCGCTCTTCTTGAGCTCCAAAGAAGCGTTGAAATATTAGTGAAGCTAATATTTTATGCACTAATTTAGTTGGACTTATTCCTTATTGTATGTCACAAGAGGAATTTTGTTCCTTTCTATAGATTGAGACGATAAGCGATCGAGACTAGTCAGATGATATTACGTCCGGTTTCCACATTTTAGAAAAGATTTAAGTTAATCCAATTGCTAAAACTGGACTGCCATCCCTAGAAATCTCACGAGCTAATCCATCAAGCCCTGCAGCTTTCCCTCACTTTTGATTGCTTACGGTCTTTTGAACCTCAATAAAATTTGAAGGACCTACATAAGTTTGCCATTCAGGTTGCTTGGGGATAATGGGTAACTGAAGGTCAGTTGAACGTCTACCATTTTAGCAGAGGTTGCTGAAATCAACTAATTTTTCTTAAAATTTTTGTTTAACTTACTAGTAGATATCACTTCTGTCTCTATAAATGTCCCGATATCAAGCTAAGCTACCTCAGGGTAGATACCATTTTCACAGTTGACTAGCTCCTCCTCTAGTAGCTCCTGAAACCTATTCTTGTTTACTCATCATTAAATTAAACTTCATGAGACTTCCCTAATCTAGCGTCTCTAAGTTCAGTGAGACACAGACAAGTACGTCCTCAAAATAGAGAACGATCCAAGTCTACACATTTACTATAGAATGAGAGACAGCCTCCGACCGAGCTCAAACGGTGACTGATGTCTACGTGATCTGTTTGAGTCTATCGTTAAGTCGTGTCACTTCTTCGTATTAAGAAGGTGAAGTAATAGGAATGAACGTACTTTAATCCTGGGTGAGCGTTTTGGCGACACAACGTATATCGTTCGCGAACGATGCCATAGTCCAAGCTAAAAAGAACCTAATATCCCACATGACACAAAGTTCGAACATCGAAAGCCCTAACATGGGGTTTGGAGCATCATTTCAGTAGTACATGAATAATATGCCACGGGTTCAAATCACTAACCCAGAGAGCACATGTTGTTTGTGTATGCACAAGTTTACTGTGGGGTAAGAGAATTATCAAAACGTGAGGGGGGATCGGATCGCGAGCAAGGTTAGCCTGGGTGCTACTAGATGCATGAAAGCGACCACCACCTCCCGGATGCTCATATTGTGGAAGGACACATTTTATTGAGGTTCCTGAAGAAAACAATGAGTTAGAAGTGGTCTTAGCGACCTGGGAGCGTGGCTGTAGAGCCCAACTACTTGAGGTAGGCCGCGTATGGTCTCTCTATCAGAAGTTTTCGACCCCAAAAGATCTTACTGCCGTAGACGGAAATCCGTATGGATAAGATAAGGTATTAAATTTTTAACGTCAGCCTTTTCTGACCTCCTTCTTTTGTTGTGAGATCTCTACAGATGCTAGTTGTCTGAGGTAAGCAGTTTGCCGCTATTACAACCCTTAACAGTAAAAAATCTGAGTTTGATCTCGGGCCTTAAGCTACTGTTCTTAGTACCAAAGTTCCAAAAATTACCTAAAAACATGTGTACCAACCAGTACTTCTCTCTTGAGTCTTCAAGATCAGCAATTCAGACCAGCACATCAATGCAATAGCTACTGCTGAGCCAAAATGTTGATGAATAACTATCAAGTACTAGACAGAGGGAAGATTACCAGAAAAATGTAATCAGATATCCATCTGGCCCACTCCATTAGTTTCATTTCTGTCGAACAAGATTTATTGTCGACAGCCGTATGACAACCATCAATAAATTGGAGTAATAGATATTAACCAAAGTCAGGCAATAAAGGTTTGGTCCAAGAAGACTGATAAGTATAGGATCACGCTTGAATTTAAATTACAAGGCATTAAGATTAAAGAAAGACTATGCTGTCCAATGAAGTATTTTGAGGAGATATTCAGAGTGTTCTTTTCATAACACACAGAATTGTCTATAAAATTATCCTCACCTCAAAACGTTCCATGGACGGTATTCTCAGATACCTAGAACTGGCCACAATCAGGAAACTGCGTCGGTAGTAAGTTGGTACTGTATGTCTAACTCAAATCGTACTGTTTCGGGGATTCCTAATTAGTATGTAAATTAGAATGCTAATTTTGATTTCACAACGGATACCTTGTGTTCTAAGTCTTGTGTTCTAATTTTATTGTGAATGAACGGAAATATCGAAGCTTATGATCACTAGGACTGTTCGGTAGCCCTAAACCTAAATAACTCAAACCACATGAGATTTTATCGTCCAGAAGTCGTAAATTTTGGATAAATACTATAACGACAAGTTTTGCAATGACCAGGAAGTAAA